CCCAATCTTTTCCCAACCGTTGCACCTTGTTTTTGGGTATAAAAAGGGGTCTCTTGGGTCTACTTTTCACATCCATTCCTCACACATTTCATAGCTTTACATTGCATCATTCCATAAACTTTTTACATAGCTTTTTAGAGCCATTTCTTGAGGAATTGAGTGTGTTCTTGATCTAAATTAGTTTACTCATATTATACTCTTTAAGAGAGTTTTTGTTCTTGAGTGATTAAGTTTTGTGAACACTTTAAGGGAGGTTTGTTCCCTTGGTTGTACGAAGGAAGGGCATATTCCTTCGAGTTGAAGTCTTGGAGTGCGGTATCTCCGAGCAAGTGTATTGAGGCTCGTGGGACTCGAGTTCTCAGGTTGTAACGGTTTGTTAAGCACCCGTAAGCTTAACGGAAGTAGTGTAGCTCGAGAGAGTCTCTCGGGAGACCGGACTAGCCACACGTTGTGGTGAACCAGTATAAATCTTGGTGTGCTCTCTTTACGCTTTTTTACGCTCTTTACTTTTTACGTTCTTTACTTTATCCCTGCGATTTTTATTCTGCGGAAATTTATAAACATTCTCGTGCCTCACTATTCACCCCCCCCCTCTAGTGAAGGGCACTTATCCTAACAGTTTTTTCTTATTTCTTCTATTTTCTTCTAGTTTCATCTAATTTCTTTCAATATCCAACTCTGTTTTTCTAGCCCTAAAGAACATGCTCTTAGTCTCTTCCAACCTTATCAATTTCTTTCAGATGGTGTTTGAGAACTAATATTTCATTTCAATTATTACATTTCAACTCCAAAATTTAAATTTTTGAATTTCAAATGATAATGGGACACATAGATTTACAATTGAGCTTTCTATGAATTAGAGGTGTAACGCCCCAAAAACAAACCCTAGAATTATCAATAAATAATTATTCGATTAATCAAATTTGTTTGATTAAGATAAATTGTTATTGGACTTTGGGCCGATATAAAATATGTTTTGATACCCAATATCAAAATCTGAATAAATCTCTTAAAGATAAATGCAATATATTGATTTAATGTGTGATTTTGATTGAGATCTGAGTACATACCCAATAAATGAAGAATTTGTTTATAATGTGAATTCTGAACTGATTTATTGAAATAAATTATAAGAATAAATAATGTGAATGGAATGTAAGAACCTTTCTGAGTAAATGTCAATTAAATCAATTTTGACTATGTCATAGTCAAACACTCAAAAATATGATGTCGGAAAAAGTATTACAAATAAATATGAAAATTATATTGTTGGATAGAGTTTAACTGCACGATCGCAACGGTGCAAACTGATTTCAATTCGGAGAAAGTTGGACAAAGAAGTGTACCCCGACTAGGACCGAAATTAGTCCCAATCAGGGACTTACGTTTGAAACCAGAAGCAATCGCCTCCTTCTCCACTAGCCGCCCGAACAGGAAACTGGACATCACCCTTGGCAGCATCCTTCACCATTTTCCTATATAAGGACCATCTCCATTCCTTTAATTCTCAATAATTTCTCACAATCCTTGTATCTATTCTGTTGCTGGGAGTGAGGAGAACGCAGTGGTGCTGTCATATTGGTGTGAGGACGTCGGAGGTGAGAGCTATCGTCACCGGAAGTTTTGCCGGAAAATTTCCAAAACCTTCATTAAGCTTCGAGGTAAGCCCGTAGATATATCTAATGACTAGAATGTTCGTATAGATCGTTTCTACGTTCATAAAAGGTCGTTTGGTTGAGTTTTGTGTTTGACATGCTAGAAGAATCAAGAATCACAAACCATGAAATTATTGTTAAAACTATGAATTAATGATATCAGAATGATCTATGAACCTTAGAGAACATTCCTATATAATTTAATTGAAGTTCGGTGACTAAAAATGGTATTTCAGAAAAATGGACAAAAGGTTGAAGAAGATGAACAGTAGCTGAAAAACAATAGGGTGGATCGATCCACCCCATTATATCGATCACCTGGAGCATTTTCTTATAGTCTGGATCAATCCAGACTACTGGATCGATCCCCCGAAATTCTGACCCGGAAATATTTCTGAAAATGTTATTTTTGAGCTCTAAAATCCTATTTTTGATACCAATTGATTATGATCATTATAAACATGATTTTTCATAATAAAAATGATGTTTTTGACAAATAAAATATTGTGTGATGCATGACGGTAAGCTAGGGTGTTAACACCCAAAGTTAGGCCACTAATTGTTATTGAATATTATGTTGATTATTACTAATTGATGATTATTATGATGATTATTGATTGATGATTATGATGATTAAACTTTGATGAATATTCTAATTAAAAATGATAATTATGAATGATTAAATCATAATGAATATATTGATAATTGTGAAAATAATATGTATTGTTAAGGGTATCTAGAATTATTCTAAGATACACTCATAGTAATGTTGATTTTGAAAGGTATCTAGAAGACCTCTAAGATATACCCATTTAAGTTAGGTCTTGCGGGTATGATGCCCGGTGACCAGGGTTAAAACGTACGTATGAGATCCAAGAACCAAACTTGAGTTCCTACTCGTTTGGGGGTACCACCCAACCCAACAGTGAACACTACGCTGTCGGTTTCTGGTTGGGCTTAAGCGAAGGTAAGTTTAAGATTTTGAAGACCTCTTTTATCTTAAACTAGAATTTTTTTAAGGGTTGGTAAACATTATAAGAGATTGGTCTTAGACTAAGAATAGTTAAAGACATTGTGAAATCTTTACTATTGAATGATGAATCTTGTGAATATCATGAATGATAAAGGACTTCAATTAAATATTGTGAATATTATGAACAACTGAGGAATGTTATATATATGAATGATGATTATTAATGATGAATGTTGAATATTAACATTAATGTTGAATAATGAATGATCAAACTAAATATTGATTATTGAATATCTAAACTGAACATTATGTGCATGATATCAAATGATTTGATTATGAATTGAGATTCAATTTGTATGGATGTTCGACGTATTAGATAGGCTCACTCAGCTTCAACGCTGAGCGTGTAGTATGTTCTATTTGCTACACGTAGGTTAATAGAATGATGTGACGTGATCTTGGAGGCAGACGAAGGCGAGATGATCGGAATGGATGTGATGGTTTTGTATTGAAGAATATAAATAAATTATGTGTATGATTGTAATTTGTTAAGCTTTCGCAATATTGAAAACTCCGCACTATTATGTTATGAAAAATATTATTGTGATAAATAAAAGTGTTGAAATATTTTAACTTTTTACGATTACCAAGTTAATACTTTAGTCCAAAAGGGGCAGCAGACCTGGACAGTTAATGTGTTACAAGAGGAGTTTAATTCAAATCCAAATCCAAATTTTTAAGATTTTCCAAACTTGAAATTTGAGTCAAATCTAGATTTGAAGTCCTAATTCGAGTTCCTGGACATGCAATCAACTCATTCTTCTTTAGGAAGGGTTCATGTGACATTGAGCCCCAATGTCATACCATGACCTAGGCTTTAATTGAAGGATAATTTACCTAAATATGACTAAAATATAATGACTTTCTTAATATAAGACCATATGTTTTTATTTCCCAATGTAAGACCATTGGTCATTATCTATTAGTCATTATTCAACTAAATGTCCAGCATCACTTGAACATTATTCTTCTCACTGGTTATTATTAAGTCCTATTTAGGGAATAAAAATGTTTAAGTCCTATATTGGAAAATGACTTATGTTTTAGTCCTATTCAGTACAAATTTCACTTAATTGAAGCATTTACGGTGTTCTGTTTGAAAAATTGACAATTTCCATCTTTCCGGACCCATGGTAACTTCCCATCCCGATCCAAACCCACCCTCGCCTCCCTTTTATTGCACACAACAAAATTTAGTTGACTTTGGAGTTAAGATTTGATTCCAAAATCTTGTAAGGTGCAGTAGAAAGAGGTGGGAGTGGATTTGAGTTAGGAGGGTGGGAGTGGATTTGATTTCCAATTTTTCTCAATTCTCTTTTGGATTATGCTATGTGTACCCCAAAGTTTGTACCCCAATTTGTACCCCGCAGTTTTGCACCAACACTTTGTGTTGGTGTAAAACTAATTTTTGTTAAACGCACTAACATTTGTGTCCCTGTGAATTTTTATTAACGCACCAACACTTGTGTCAGTATAAACCATCGAAATGTTTGTGCAAACCTGTGGTGTACAAATGGGATATATTTTTTTGTGTAAGTGTAGCATGCCTCCTTCTCTTTTAACATCCATATCCAACCCTGGAAATGAAAGATGCAGCCAATGAAGTACTTGCATTTTGATGATTCATTGTCGACGCACAGTAACATGCTTTATACTGTAATTATAATTGCTCACTAAAAAACTGCCTTCATAACCTTCATCAACCTCCTCCACCACATCTCTCCTACTCTTTCGCTCTCGCGCTTTTCCCACAACCGCTCCATTGCTTTTCCCTTTGCAGCCTTCCTCGATTCCAGTTCTAAGGTAGCGTTTCATACATTTTGATGTTGGGCATTCCTCGATTCATTTCTGCATAAAAAGTTTGTGTTTTTTGAATTTTCCCGATCTGTTCGAGCGATTATTAGGAGAGGATTAAACGGATGATTGAGGTGTTTTTTTGGATTTGAACAGGGCGAAGATGTTCGGGAGCAGCGTTGGAATTGAGGCGGCCTCGCTTGGCGGAGTCCTTTCGAACGGGAAAGCTGCGGCGGCTAAGCTTTTGGTAGACGATTCCTCCGATCCGGCCATTAATGTGTCTGAGCCGGTTCCTCCGTTGGCGGAATCCGGCATGCTGGACGGCGCTGCCCCCACCGGAGAGAGGAAGACGGAGAAGAGGGAGATTGTGCTGGGGCGGAACGTGCACACCACGTGTCTGGAGGTCACGGAGCCTGATGCCGACGATGAATCGACTGGAGATAAGGAAGCCTACATGGCTGGCGTCTTGGCTCGGTACCGCAAATCTCTTGTCGAGAGAACCAAGCATCATCTAGGTTCGTCGTATTTCTAGATTTGATTCTATGCTGGACAGTTTGAACTTTGAATGCGAGCTGTGGATTTTAGTATTAAAAGAAATCAATATTATGTTCTCTTCCCTTATATATTTTCATTTTTAAAATAATATAGTCCTTTTACACCAAAATCTAGGATCGTTCCATTTCCAGA